AACAGCAAAAGGGGAGGGACAAATCTCTTTTCCTCCCTTAGACTGTATGCAGGCTACCCACCGCAGGGTGGGTGTAGCACCCACACTCTCAATCCCAGCACTAGACAATGAAACAATCACGAACTCTAGCTGTCTCTGAAAATCCCACCCGCCATGATCACATGAGGCTTTGGGTGGACACAAACCATTACATATGTCCTACAAAAACGCCAAGAAAGCAAAACATATCTGCTGTCAGTGTAAGCCATGTATGCATATGCAATGTGCTATTGTCATACATGCAGACTGGCTTAGGTGTGAAAACTGAAGTAAAGATTTTTTGTAAAATATTGTTGGTATTTTCATTGTGGTTCATGTAAGAATCTATTTTGTTCTGTTTTAGATTTTGTACACCAAAAATCAATGTTGAAATGTTGATGCTTTTTTTATAAACAATAAATACTAAAAATTCAATACTTTTATTTTTGTGATATCTTTTTCCTATTACATACTCATTGTTTAATGTAATAAAACTCATAAAATTAAAATTAATAATTCATCATCAGAAATATTTCCAAAGGGTGGGTTTTGTACACCCTTCATTATATTCCGTTCACACAAAATTGCCATGATGCCCCAAGGGGGAGATGAAGTCCTAGACACTAAGAAGCTCCCTCATCAGTGCAGTTAGGAATTTGATCCCTGTTGCAGGGGCTGTGGGTTTAGTTCAGTGACAGAGCACTTGCCTAGCATGGGAGAGGTTTCTGGGTTTAATCCCTAATGCCATAAAAAGTTATCCTTTTTAATGAAAAGGAAGCATTAAAAAAATTGTGGCTTCTAGTGCTCTTTTGAAATCTGAGTCCTAAGTCAAGGCTGCCTTTCATGTATAAAATACTGTCTATATTCCCACCATTCAGAGATCGCCACCTATAATGAATACTTTGGAACATATACATTTCTACACTTCTCTCTCTTGCTCAATTTTACTTTTAATACTATTTTATATCTTGCTAATTCACTGACTAGCATATTATGGACTTCTTTCAACACAATATATTCAACAGTGATCAATATACTCAATAGTGTTTTGCATTGAAGCCTCCTAAAAACAATTTTTTCTTAAAATAGGAACAAATTTTCAAAGGTACATGATGGTGGATACAGTGAAAGATATTTTTCCAGAAGTAGAAAGTTGAGTTCTACTTTCTACTTCTTGGGCAATCACTATTATTGATTCATTGTGTATTTATTATTATTAAATCACATATTTATATAGATATACTTTTTATTTACATTTTCCTTCTTTTTTGTGCTGAATTGATTTAGGGCCATATAGGCACTGCATACATGTTCAACCACTGAACTATACCCTCCACCCTAGATACACTTTTAAAAAATGCTAATATTCTATATATACTTCTGCATTTTGTTTTCCCACTCATATATCTGGAATACACTTCTATATTTTTATATATAACTGATCTCATTTGAAAATATCTGCAAATCATTCAATCTTATGACTGACTGTACCACAGTTAGTCTAACTGGTCTCATGGCTAGACATTTAACAACATTTGCTATTAGAAACAATTCTGTCTCTATACATATGTCTTTTTGCACATGTTCAGAAACATGGGATGCATTTCTGGAAGCAAAACTACTAGATCAAAGTATTTTAAATTACAATAGTGATTGCCAAATTGCTCTTTATCATGTTCGTGACAATTTCGTCTCATCAATGACAAATGTGTGAAACCATTTGCTTTCACAACGTTGGGGGGTGGGGATTTAGCTGAGCGGCATAAGCGCCTGCCTTACAAGCATGTGGTCGTGAGTTTGATCCCTGGTACAGGTAAAAATACAAAAATAACCCCCCCCCCAAAAAAAAACAGTGTGTTCCTCACACTTTTATGCCCAACTTTTGGGTCACAGTGGGATATTAATACAGTGTTAATTATTATGAAATAGAAAAATTTATGTTTTAAGCACTAATTGTATTTCCTATTTTGAGTTTTCTGTTTATAACATTTACCTCTTATTTTTTTAAACTGGGCTGATTTTTTTCCTGCTTGATTAATATCTGGTACCATAGTTGCTCCTACATGTTTTTTATTTGCATTTTTGAATTAGCTTGCCTACTCCTATTTCAGTCTGGTTTTTTTTTTTTTGTTGTTGTTGTTGTTTTTTGTTTGTTTGTTTTGTTATTGTTGTTGCTGCAGTAAAATACTTGAGGCCAAGAATTTTACTAAAATAAAAGTTTAGGGGCTGGGGATTTAGCTCATCGGTACCAGGCAGTCGTGAGTTCGATCCCTGGTACCGATAAAAACTAAAATAAAAGTTTGTTCAGCAAACCATTTTGCAGGCTGAATGTCTAAGATCAGGTAGTCCTAACTGTTCCACCTCTGGTGAGGGCCTTCTGGCTATGTTATGACATTGTGGAAAAGCAAAAAAGGACACAGGTCTTGGAAGAAGTAGTTCTCAGAGGTGGTTCCTCCATGACTTAATCTCTGTCATAATTACTTTCTCATCACTGGGACACAATACAAGACATCCACAATTTAAAGCAGGAAAGGTTTATTTTGGTTCACAGTTTGTAGAGGTTTCAGTCCACAGCTGGCTGGCTCCAAAGCAGAGTGGCATGGCAGAGGAGCATGGCAGAAGAGGCTTGCTCAAGTCAAAGCTGCGAAACAGAGAGATCAAGGGAAGTGGGAGGTGGTACATCCTTCAAGCCGATAGCCCCAGCAACCTGCCTCCTCCAACCAGACTTCATCTTCCTAAACACGGTTAGCTCTCAACTCATCAGTAGACTAATCCCTTGATGAGTATCATATCCCCCATGAACCAATCATCCGTCCAAACTCCACCTATGAGGATTTGGGGGGACCCAGGTAAAAACTATGACAATCACCTTCTACTAATCCTCAAGTTTTAAAGGTCCAACTAATTAATATTACCACACTAGGAGCCAAACTTCAAGCACACAAACCCATGTAGGACAAACCACTCTTGCAATACAGCTCAGGTACTTCCGCTCCAAGTGTAGAACTCCCTCCCTACCAACTGTGCTACAATGTAGGCAGTTAAGGTATACACGGCCAGCTCAACTATCAAGTGACTTCTAATTAGTGTATCCAGGAGGAATACAATAACTGAGCCAAGAAAGCAATGCTATAACCTACAAGGAAAGAGACACTTTGTCTCCAGCTGATTTCCTGACAGTTTAGACAGTCATCCCACTCCTTACCAAGAGATGGCTACACTGTCACCAGACACATTTGGGTTTTGCCTTCCTTATTACTTTTTTCAGAGATTCACCAGCAACCCCACCCTCCAACTCTCTTACATCATGTCTTGGGGAAACAGAAGCTTGCCTTTGTAAAATGTGGGGGGACATCTCTCTTAAAGACGGCTCTAGGGAAAAAATGGTGTCACTTCATTGTACTCCATTTAGTTTACATTTATTGAGTGGCTGAAGGTATTTAGAGTGTTTTGTGGATGATTTGATCATTTCCCCCCAAATGCTCTGCTCTTAGTCCCTCTCCTCCTTCTTCCTTTTTTGCCTCGATAGCCTGGAAGTTCTGTTATGAGTGGTAAAATCAGACCACATGGACTGTCACCAGGCAGGTACAGTCTTTTGAAACATCAGCGCTGGAGTGGGTTAGCCAAGCGCATGCTCCATTAATAGCCAGTCGATAGCTCACACTAGTGAAAATATAAAAACCTATTAAGCATCACAATTAGGCAATCTCAAAAAATGGTGGTTCTATTTGGTTTATATGATGTATTTTAAATTAGTATGTCTTAGTTTTCTTTTTAAACATTTTTGAGAGATTAAACTTTCTCAATCTCTTTAGCTCAGTGAGTCATTTTGTGACCATAGTGACTCTGGCAATAAAATAAAACAATAATGAAGTGCCGGGGGATAGTTGTTTTCCTATGTGGTTTACCATCCTCAAGAGACCTAATAAATATTCAGCAAGTGATTAGTTGGTCCATCCCCACGTGCGTATTTTACATATCCATGCCAGCCACTCTTTCACAAGCAGTTTTACTTGGTAATTTGCAAATGTTCTGGCTGCACTCTGCACCTGCCAGCCTTGAAGTAATTAGTTTAGGATGCAGAACGACTTCTAAATTAAGGTTCTGGACCTGTAAAATAAGAAAGCCTGATAATCAACACTGTAGCTATAGCCAATGAGATGAACTAGAATGAGCCCTGTACCTCTCCTACCTGGTGAAATGCCTGCCGTGCCCATGAAATGTCTACACGCAGGTGAATTGTGGATCAATAGTGGAAGACAGTAAAGAGGGTCAGTACTCAATGAATGTGTTTCCCTTTCTCCTGTCTACATACAGCTTGAAGGTTTAGGGTTGGGCACTTTAGGTCACACATACAGTGACGTTTTGGCCAGGTAAAATGTTAAACTCGAAAACTAGTACAGGCATCGTGCCCGGAGATCCCGGGGGTCCTGGGAGACCCGGCAGGGCCCGGCGCGCCCCGGAGGCGCAGGGACATGGAGCGCCCGGGCGGTCGGTGGGGCCGAGGCCCGGGGCAGGACGCGCGCTCCTCGGGGCAAGCAGGTCGGCGGAGAACCTCGATCCCGGAAAGGAAAGCGCAAGCAGGTGAAGGAAGAGCAGGAGAGAGTCGGAGTGGGAGGAGAAAGCGAGGGAGAGGAGGCCGGGAGAGCGAGCGGAAGAAGAGGAGGAAAATGGAGGAGAAGCGCCACGAGGACGGGGAGGAAAAGGGAGGGAAAGAGAAAGGCAGCGAGGAGTCGGATCCGCCCCTGCAGGCGGCCTCCCGGCTCCCGAACTCCGGCCCGCCGGGCCGCGTCCGCAGATGCCGCTCTCTGCGCCGCCGCTCGGAGGACGCCAGGGCGCGGACTCGGCCTGAGCAGCACCAGCTCCGCGCGCCCCCGCAGCCCGCGCGCCCCCGGAGCCCGCGCGTCCCCGCGCCGCGCGCCGCCACCCCTGCCCGCCCGCGCCCCCACTCCGGGCATGCGCAGTGGGCGGCGCCGCTCCGGGCCGCCTCCAACGCCGCGAGTAGGAAGCTCGAGCGCTGGGCGCCGAGCTGTCAGTGAGCGTTGGGCCAGCGAGCGAGTGAGCGGCTCCGGCTCTGCTCCGCGCCGCGCCGGCCCGCCGCGCCTCCTCGCGGGGACCTCGCCACCTGCCCGCCGCCCCGCCCCGCCCCCGCCCACCCCGGCCCGCCCGGGCTGCTGCTGCTCCCCGGCGGAGGCGAGAGGTGGCTGGGGGGGACCATGGCTGACGTTTTCCCGGCCAACGACTCCACGGCGTCTCAGGACGTGGCCAACCGCTTCGCCCGCAAAGGGGCGCTGAGACAGAAGAACGTGCACGAGGTGAAGGACCACAAATTCATCGCCCGCTTCTTCAAGCAGCCCACCTTCTGCAGCCACTGCACCGACTTCATCTGGTAGGTGCGCGGGCCGGCGCACGCACCGGCACCCCGAGCCCCCGCGCGCCCCGGGCCGGGGACCAGTCTCGCCCCAGTCTGAGGTCCCGTCGTCGCCCCGTCCCAATGCGGGCGCGTCCACCCCGGGGCTGACTCACTCGGAGAACTTGGAGAGCCCGCCAGGAGTCCAAACTCTCCGGGAAAGACACGCGCGCTCCCGGGGCCGTCCCGGCCACTTGCACACACGCGGCGGACTGGCGGGGAAGGCGCCGCCCCGCCACACACCCCCTGCCGCCGGGAGCCGGCGCCGCGCAGCGGGGACTCGGAGCTCCTCGCGGCCGGGGTCCCCTGTCTGCTCGCACGCACCCGCTTTCCAGCAGACAGCCCAGCAGCCCTCTGCCGGGCAGCGAGAAAAGGGGAAAGCAAGCCGAATCGCCGGGGCTGAGCCTCCCGGAGAAGCACGCCCTGGATTAACGGGGGACGCGGCGGCTGAGCTGCGTGCGCTCCAACTTGCTGGCGAGCCAGGCGGGGCGCGTCCCGGGAGTGTGTTTGTGTTTCCACTGGGCTGTGACTCCGCTGGAACCCTGGGTCTCTGCCTACTGTAGGCTGTGTCCACGGGTCACGGAGACTTACTTTTCTGCGTGAGCGGAGAGAGAGGGAGAGAGGAGAAGCAGCAAACTGTTGAAAGCTTCCAGGGGAAGGGGGAGGAGGGCGGGCTAAACAGAGCAGACAAATGGCAGAAGGGCAGAGGGAGTCTTTTAAAATAGACCCTGTCAACAGGAGATTACACCCGTAACCCTGTTGGTGAGGACAGAGAACTTTAAAAAAAAAATACTGTAATGGCTAAAGATGCCAGGCTTCAGGTGATTTCCAAAGAGCATAAGCATTGTTAACTTGAGGGGACCGGGGGCTTAATGGGGAATTAATAAACGCAGGGTTTCAGGGTTCTCTGGACCCTGTAAAACCATGGAAATTGTGTTCGTTTATGCATTTTGTTTTCGTGGTGAGAGAATTACAGTTTTAATTTGACTTTCAAAGATCAGTGACACCCCCATCCAAAAAAAAAAAAAAAAAAAGTTAAGAGAGCTGAAACTAAGGGAACTTCTTGTGCCCTGGTTTGGGTAGCAGTAGTTTTTGTATTCTCTTAGGACACCTTGGTCCTTCTGCCTCTTGTTTGTGGGATAAGAAGTTCTCTACCTTAGCTCCATCCTCTCCTGATCTAAGAGCTGCACAAGGTGCCAGTGCTACAGTGCCCATTCTTCAGCCTCTCTCGTGGCACCAGGATGGATGACACCCTCTTGAGTTCAGCCCATCTGGGAAGAAGCATCTCAAAGGGAGAGACCCATGAATGTTATGCTAATGGGGTGCTTACTTTTCCCTTTCCTTAGAAATCATTCCAAAATACACTTATGAAAAGCACAGGCAACTCTATGAATGATTTCCATCAAGTAGTCAGCATTTGCAGCAATTGTACTGGAGGGAATGGGTCGTAGGAGATAAGGCTATTTAAAATGAGTTTTTGGAACATCAAGAAAAAGAGGATATTGCATTTGGTTAAGGAGAGGTCTGAGAGATTCTGTTAAGAGGGGACAGACTGCTAATTTTTTTTACAGGAAGTAGGTAAGTTAGAAAAGGAACATTCTGTGTCGCCTGGACCAGTATCTCTGCCCTCTCAGCCCTGATCAGCTCCAGGTAAACTGCTGAGGCATCCAGGTCATTTGGTGTACTGTGAAGCAGAAAATTAAGATCTCTCTTCCTCCCTCCCAGAATAATTCCTGCAGTAGTCTCTGCTTAATCTTAACTTGGAACTGTTTCCAGGAAAAACTTCAATAGTTGTGTAGTGGGCTTACTTTTTCAGTTTTCATTATTGCTTCTATGACTCCTTGACTTCTGCATTGTATTTCAATACTCAAACACTGATATTTTCAAGTTATGTAATTGGATTTAGTATGGTGTTTAGGGGGGGGATTGACTAGCTGTAAAGGTATGTGAAATGTTTTGTAAATTTAAAATGCTATGTAAAGTATACGATTATAACAACCTCCTGAGAAAATTTTAATGCAGTTTATTCTAGTACATATTCGCAATTGAATATCCATGTCAGAATTCTCTGCTTACAGAGTAAATTCCATAAAGTCATTTACAAGAACAAACTAACCTCTATGATCTTTGAATGCTATTGGTTCTCAGTAAAAATTAGATCATGATAATCTTAAATGCAAACAACAGGAATCATATTTCATAAAATCTGGTTCCTCAAGCCAAAATTAAATGTTAAGATTGGTGCTTTTTGGCACTTGCAGACACACCATATTTGGAACAGATCCAACAAACCACTTTTTAGGTGTTTTGAGGAAGAAAAAATTTTTCAGTTGGTCTTTAGGAACAAAATTAAGCCACTTAATAATCATAAACCTCTTTTTGTTACTTGAATATTGTAGCTAACACTTTGCACAGTCATGTTCTTCTTTTGAAATTTCATTATCAATAACATAGTGTAAAACATTGGGGAGTTTGATTTCCTGAAATAATTCAGTGATCCTTAATAGGAAAGATATTTTTTTTGAAAGGTGAACCTGTCCAGTAATCTGCATAGATTGTTGGATGAGTTTTTCCTTTCGAATCACCGGGTTGCATGTACAGGCTTTTTAACTCGATAGAGTACTTGGTCATGCATCTTGCTTGCAATGCAGTGTCCAGCACATCAGGCTGAGATTTTTGTTTTTCTTTCTTTTTTTCAGGGGGTTTGGGAAACAAGGCTTCCAGTGCCAAGGTAAGCTGCCTCAGTGAATTTCACTGTCAAGTACATCATGAAATGAACATTCCAAAAAGGAACAGTATTTTCACTCATAGTTTATTTGTGATCCAAAAGATACGTTAGTTAGATGGTATTTTTGAAACATGGGCTGGAAATCTGGGCCTGCCTGTAAAAAAAAATTGTATGGTACTGCCTCGTAATCTGCACTACTTTTTTCTCCCTGGAGGAAAAAAACTCTTCGCTGTAATTTTTATTTTTTGCTGAGAACATTCTTGTCAGAAACTGCTGTCTTGGTGTTGTGTGGGTGGGTGTTAAGAAAAAAATGGAATCACTTTGTATTCATGTGGCATTTCTTTCTTGTTCTTCCTCTTTGTTTTTGTTCTTCCTCTCTTTTTACCTATGTATTGAGTGGATTTGTTGCAACTGATTTTAGGCCATACATCATTCTAGTAAGGTGTTGTTCATGTTACCAATAGTCATCCAGAATAAAGTTTACGTGTTCTAAAGTTATGTCACTGATTTGAGAATAACTAATTGCCGTAGTATGCCTATGTGGTGCTCTTTTCCTTCAGTTTAAATATCTGGCGACATACACAGAGTGCTATCCATGGATCCAGAAGGAAGAGCAATAGTTTCTCTGTCTGATCTGCAGTTGGATTTTATATACATCACATATCGCATTTTTCACCCTATTTTATTTAACTTAAAGAAAAAACATTATAGTTTGTGAAGGCATTGCAGGCTTATTAGTTTTCTGTTCTTTTCTTCATCATCTATATTATGTTTATTTAGTTCTGTTTACATTTCCCATCTGGGCATAAGCTTATTATTAGAGCGAGTAGAAAATACACTGTAGCCCAGAAAATATTTTCCTAAAACTGTTTAATATTTAGTGCATTAATGAGAAGGAGAGAGACACTGTGTGTACAAGTTTTACAAGTTTGAAATTTTGCTAGTAAGTCATTTACCTTTTAAAAACTTTTTCACATTTGCACACTTAATACAGTGTACATGATTGATGGGGGGTGTTTTATGATATCATGATCATTAATACTCTATTTTTTCTACTCGCAAGATGTGCTTAAAAGTCCCACTTAATGAGTCATTTTGAGAGTTGGATTTGGAAATCAAGACATAGGCCTTTTATTTATTTTTGGTACCAGGGATTGAACTCATGACCTTGTACTTGCCAGGTAGGCGCTTCTGCCACTGAGCTAAACCCCTGGCCCAAGATAGGCCTTTTAGAAAGAAAAGAAAGATATATTACACTAGTCTCTACAAGAGATGAAAGAAAGATGTAGCCCCTTCTAATTTTCAAAGTTGTGGGCCTGAATTTTTGAGGTGAGATTTGGGTCTAGGTTGGAACATGATTTTAGAAAGTTTAAAGATGTAAAGTTTAAAGATTCTGAGCTAATGGAATTCATGCGTGTTATTATTTTGGTGATACTTTTAGTTTGGGTAGAAACCAAAGGAAACTTGTAAGAAAAATATTTAGTGAATTTCCTCAAATATCACTTGTCCAACAAAGGTGACGGTGTTATTTTAAAACTGTATCATTTTCTTCATGAAAGTTCAGGGCAGAGTTGGTCTCTCGTAGGCTCGGTCATCTGAGCAGGTTTTGTTGGTGAGTTCTTAGTGGCTGCATTATTAGGCTATCGGAGGTTCTCTGTGGTTTCCTCCAGAGAGTGTCGACTGACCTTTCAGCGGATTAGCAGATTAGTAGTCTCACATCACTGTAACTCCCTTTTAGCTAAATTACAAAAATGATACTCATAAACATTTTAAACTGTGTAAAATAAAAAGTGAAGTCATCTACCTTCCTCTCTTCCCATCTCCTAGAAATAACTTCTGTTTAAGACATCTGACTGTTCATTCAGGTATGCATACTTAGTTCCTAAAAATTTTGCAACTCTGCAGTTTACTTTTTTCATCCAGCAATGTATAAATGTTCAATCACTGCTGACATTTTATTAGTGTGAACACCACCATGGAGGACATTCTTGGGCACTGGTACCAGTATTTCTATAATACATATCTAGAAGTGTGTGGGAGTACATTTTAAATATTAATCAATATTGCAGAATTGCTCACAAAAAAGGCTTCCAATTTACATTTCAGTCTGAATGTAAGAGAGTGCCTATCCCTCTGCTTTCATTCTTCCTAGTGATGATATTAGATAATGTAAATATTGCACATTTTTGCCAGCCTTATAGGTGAAAAGGCCCTCTTTTCAGTTTCCAGCTCTTGAATTATTGGTGAGGTTGAACATTTTTTCAAGTATGCTTTAGCCACTTCTATTTACTCTGTGAATTGCCTTTCTTTAATATTTGTAATTCAAGATTTATAAACAGACAAAATAGAGAAATATACACAGTCCTTTGCTTTGGTGAAAAATTTAATCTTGGGTGTCTTTAAATAATGAGTTCCCCTAGTGCATTTATGGATTTTAAACCTTCTCATGATTCAAAATGGTACGAACATTTTGTCTAGTGTGTATCATTTGTATTTCATAGCCAGTGGGCATATGCTAATCTACTGTATATTACTATTTATTTATTTTTGGCTTTTTGTTTTTTTAAGATAGAGTCTCACTCTGTAGTCCAGGCTGGCCTTGAACTCACTATGTAACCTAAGCTGGTGTCAGACGCATGGTGAACCTCCTGCTTTAGCCCCACGTGTGCTGGGATTACGGCATGGGCCACCACTTGCAGCCTACATCTTATTATTTTTAATTAAATGTATGTCATCTCAGACAGTGCTTTAAACACCACTAATATAGTTTCCCAGTTTTCCTGTTTTATCTAGCTCCTCACAAGTAATCTTTCCTTTAACTTCTGACCATTTTACACAATTCATGTTTTCTGTTAATGTTCTCTAACTTTGTTTTGCCTTTGGTTTGAGAGTGTTAGTCTTATTTAGGAGACTACAACTCATTCTGATCCATACATTTGACAACGTATCTCTGGGGATGGCAGCTCTTACTTGATACTTTTTGTATTCCTGGTACATGAGAATCCTCTTGCTTGGTGAGGCAGTGTTTTATAGTGACTGGAATGTGGTGTGGTGCTTTAGTCCAGTAGACAAAACACTCATGGAGGTATGCTTTGTCTTATTCTTTGAAAAGGAGATAAATATTCTTTAAGTGAGTCACATATTCATCATGTAAGTAGTGCAACTTTAAGTGTAAAACCTTTGTCATTTTATTTAGCAAATGCTAAGAAGTGGAAGACTGATTAACAAATGAATCCCTTAAAGTTGGCTTTGTAATCCGTGCCATTGAGAAAACGTTGTACTTTACAGGCATTTGAAGCACTAAGATTATTTCCCACTTCTTCCCTTCCCCAAGAGGCAGCATAAATGGAAGCAGGAAACTTTTCCTGAGAAATGTTTATTGGGGTGTTTCTATTTGTCATGTATTCGAGTACAGTGGTCCAGTACTGCCAATAAATTTTACCAAGACAGGTAACACAGGAGGATCCTTTTGTGAGGATTTGTTTCCAGAAATGATGAGGCTAAGAACTTTAAATGCTGGGGAGAGTTAAGAGGACTGTAGGAGCATATACTGCATCCAGAAGTCACAAGATACCTACTTTTCCTAAGGTCTTTAAGATCTGGCACATCCCCTTAAAGCTCTAAAGTAGCCCCTGTTACATGACTTGGATTTGCCTTTTGATTTTTGCTTGCTTTTTCCTGTGCTCATTTCATTTCCCTGATACCAGCAGAGGGCCAGCCCAGGTTTTTTCTTTATTCTGGAGGAAGGAGAAGAGGAAAGGGAAGTCGACTTAGTGGTGCTGGCGTTGATGCAGCTGAGTTTTGTTGGAGAGACCTATTTCCAGGCAGGAGTGTCTGTCCCCCACGGGCTGCTCCCAGTAGGACAGAATGGTCCACCGTCCCGCTCCCCTGACCTTGTCCTCTGCGGCAGTGGAGCTGAAACAGTTATCTGCTACTTTCAGTGCTGGAAAAGGGGATGAGCCAACTCGATCTTTTCCTCTTCAGAGTTAGCAACACCCATCCGCTTCTCTAATTACAGTGGTAGAAGCAGCCTTGAAAACATGACCTGCTTATTTCAAGCAGTTACTCACAGAGTTTGTTATATCTGCCTAACCTCCGCATAGTCTGGTTTTTTTCTTCCTCTTTTGTTTAATATCACAAGTTAAAATGAACTGGACTTTTTGATTAAGATACCCCAAAGAACATGATAGGCCCTGCATGAGCTGCAGGAGCCGTGGCTCTGGTGGTCAGTTGTGTTCAGAGAGACCTACAGGGAATGATCTCACCTTTCTGTGCTTCCAGTAGTGCTGCTGTGAGGCAGTTTCGAATCTTTGGTCATTTTCTTGCCAAGAACACACCACATAGTATCCTATCTCTGTGACGCTAGTGGAGGCTCTGCAGTTTTCAGTAAAAATGACTGGACAGTCGTTAAATGCCATGTTAGTTTGAAGAGCTGTCTCAGGGTGGATATTCCCACTGGCTCACCTGAGCAAGGTAGGTTTTTGTATTCCTTCTAGAAAAAGAGAATTAATGATGGAGAGAAGAAAAGCGAGTCTCCACTTAGCTGTAGGAGTCCAAGAAATGAGACTGATTTGGGAGAAGGTGGCCTTTATACAGACAGAGGGCAGCAGGAATTGGGTTGGCAGCTTTTTTAGGTAAGGATGTCCAGCTGTCCTCATCTGCCAAGTGACATGGACACCAGGTGCCAGAAGATAAAAGAGGCAGTGGGGGTCCAAGCTGGGCAGAATGGTGAAGCTGACCAGCGTAACAGAGTGTTTGTCTGCCCCTTCTCATTCCCATGACGTTTCTTTTTTCCACATGCAATGCATAACATGCCCATGTTTTAACAAAGTGCGAGGGAGGTCATGTTTATGAGCCACAGAAAGATATGACCACCTCTTATATTAACTCTCAGTGATTGCCAGCTGCCCACTGGCTTTCAGAGTTGGTATTAGGATTTTCTAGCCTTTGTCTTCAAAGCAGGTGTTCACATCTTGGCGTTCCATTTCTGAATGGTGCCCAAC